TCACTGCGCATGCCTTGCCATAACGCGATGATCTTGGCCAATCATAGCCCGTTACGTCGTCATACATTTCACTGCTGTCCGCGGCGCTCTTAACCTATCCGAGATGAGGTAGACTAGTGCGCACAGCACCGAGGTTGTAGTACCATCTTAAGGCTAAAGGGTCATCTACAATGGCTGTAGGAATATGGCTGTAAGGCTGTAAGACGCAAAATAAATTATTTTCATTCGCTGACAGCTCACGTTACAGCCTTACAGCCATATTCTTACAGCTATTGTAGAATGGCCTTAACAGTCATAGAAATTCAACTTAAAAAACCGGGAAAATATATCGGTCGATTTTCCATCTTACAACATTTAAACTGGTGGCACATAGAAAATATTAAGCAGTAAAACGTAAGCAGTAAGCAAATTGACCAATCACAATCATTGTTTCTTCTTACGATCCAAGAATCAACGACTGTGATTGGTTAATTTGCTTACTGCTTACGTCTTACTACTTAATAGTGTTTTTCATTGGCAGAACTGGTGCGCACTGAGTGCGCACTCAGTGCGCACCAGTTCTGCCAATGAAAAACACTATTAAGTAGTAAGACGTAAGCAGTAAGCAAATTGACCAATCACAATCATTGTTTCTTCTTACGATCCAAGAATCAACGACTGTGATTGGTTAATTTGCTTACTGCTTACGTCTTACTACTTAATAGTGTTTTTCATTGGCAGAACTGGTGCGCACTGAGTGCGCACTAAGGCTTGTTTACAATACATTTTCATATTTAAGATCGTGTTTTAAATACATATTTAAAAATATTTTAGGTAATAAAATGATTCGTAGAGATGTTATACATATTATATTACTGGTTAAAAATATTTGAGAATTTATTTAAGACAATCTTTCAATATAATAACATACTGTGAACAAGCCTTATTACGCACTCAGTGCGCACCAATTCTGCCAATGAAAAACGCTATAAGTTTTCCTGTGTGCCACGGCCCTTATATCTCTCTTCATCTGGTTACACGACAAAATCCGTAAAAAGGGAGCGGATAGCGTTGGTATCAGTGAAAATCCCTAGGTAACTCAAATTAAATTTTTATGGATTAGTAACACTGAATAGGTAGTAATATATGTTGGTTAGCTGAAACCTTCTTGACGTGTGTGTGTGTGGATTATATACATGTGACGTTTTGCCATAAGCGTGTGTCGGACATATGCGTATGTCATATGCGTGCACGTCGCGTATGTGAAGTAATCAATATTTAATAAATGTGTATTAAATATATTGTGACGTGTAACTACAGTCAAAATAAATAAATCTTCCACAATAACAAGGTGAAAACAATAACAAGAAGAAAACTTATAAAAATAAAAAAATATATGTTCATAATTAATCCTTATAAGAAATTAATAGTGGCGCTGTAACAAATTGATAGATTACTGTTGCCTTGTCATTTTATTATTTTTTCATAAGTAACATAAAGGTACTGCAACAATACTTAGTCAAACAATAATTAATCACTGGTCAATATGTTACAGGCAGAGAGAATATATATTTTTTATAAGGATTGTTATTTAAATAAATGATATTAAATCATCAATGAATACAATTGAACTCTTCAATACAAGCAGTACAAAGTTAAAAACGGACAAATAAGAGTTAACGCCAGTGACAGGGCGGAGTGCCAGTATATTCATACAAAATAAATATAAATCGCAAAAATTCGTATACATTTCATATGATTTCCTTATCGATTGTCTGGCTACGCTTTGTAATTTCGCGAGTGGTTTGATATAATGCGGCTTTATTGGTGTTACCTTCGTTTACGATCATCTTTCGGTTTCTGTGCGGTATATACGCCGTTCTGTTTGATTTGCGTCAGAATGGTAAGTTTTTGATATTATTAACCTTTGCTTTTGGAACTGACAATATCCATCTTATTTTTAAGGTAATAGTCGTCTAATATTCAGTGGCGTCTACTTATTAACGGATTTTTTTTTAATTGTAATTTTAATGTATTTTGACGGATTTTTGTAATAATTTGAAGTTTATGATGTACTGAAAAGGGTCCAAAAGCGGGACCGAAACGTATACGAATTTTTGCGATTTATATTTATTCTGTATGAATATATTGGCACTCCGCCCTGTCACTGGCGTTAACATTTATTTGCCCGTTTTTAACTTAGTACTAATAAATTCTCAATTTTGTGATATGCCAAGATAAATGTAATTCACTGTTCGGTTTCGTTCTTCAAACTGAAATCAATTTCTCATTGTCAACTAGAAAATGAAACCTGTATGAGATGATGGAAACAGGAAAAAGAGGATATAATGAAGTAAAATGAAGAATAGACAAATGTCAGATAAGTAGCTAATATTATAAACTTCTATAGACATATATTATGCATAAATAATATACATCTATATAGGTTTAGAATATTAGCTACTTATCTCACATTTGTCTATTCTTCATTTTACTTCATTCTATCTTTTTTTTCATGCTTCCATCATCTCCTACAAGTTTCATTCTCCAGTTGACGATGAGAGATTGATTCTAATTCGAGAAAGGAAGTCAAACAGTGAATTACATTTATCTAGGCATATCATAAAATTGAGAATTTAATATTATTTATTTAAATAATAATTCTTATAAAAAATATATATTCTTTCTGCTTGTAACATATTGGCTAGTGATTAATTATTGTTTGATTAAATATTATTGCAGTACCTTTATTTTACTTGAGCAAAAATAATAAAATGACAAAACAACAGTAATTTGTCACTCGCTAATTCATTACAGCATCACTATTAATTTCTTATAAGGATTAGTTATCAACATATATATATATATATATATATATATATATATAT